GCCTTCTCCATCTTTTCATGTTTCTTTTGTACAAGAATCAGGTAACTCTATTTTTTTTTGTTTCTACAGATTTTTACCTAGAAGTCAATGTTAAATACACACTAGGTTACAGGATATTTACTTTTATGCCAAGAGGTAACGAAAAATGTATGATAACTTTTGTGTGTTAATCATGCACCTATATAATCACACAACTAGCAAATCGTTTAATATGAGCATATTTGAAACAATGAGTACAAAATGGGATAAGGGTGAGAATAACAGCAAGCATACTGCTTCTGAGGTATGTACAACTTGCTCAAACTATAGTTTCATGCATGTCTGTTTCATGTAATAAAAATTGCAGACCAGCTGGATGCAAAGGATCTCTTCAAAAATCTGTCATTTCCTTTTAATTATGCCTCTATTCACAGTCAAATAGCACACACATCTTTTAATGTTGAGACTGACTTCTTTTTAGGCCCTTCTTGGTCATAAAGACTTTTTTTTACTATGTGGGCAAGCCTATACATAATTTGCTTCATGTCTTTGTCTATCATTATGAACTAGTCTAATTTAAGAATCATGAAATAGCTCTGGCTATGAAGGAAAAGAGAACCTGGGAGCAAGTGATGATGAGGGGCAAAGCAGTATAGGGGCTGTGGTAGAATCAGTGATGGGCAGCTTGGTTGTTACCTTTTCTGAGGTTTGCTACTTTAGGTTTTCACGTGTAGTGTTCATTCTTTCCCAGAAGGCAGGTCCAACCTACCTGTGGAAATCGAAGTGTTTGTAGTAACTTTTAACTGTTAGATGACTATTTTTTTCAAGACTGTGAGTCAGGTAATGTCAAGCCTATTTCTGAGATGGAAATGTGGATGTGCAGGAAAGGAAAATATTGCTAGAAGACCACAGTCCTGTGAACCATTCAGGTGAAGCATTGGCACAGAACTGACTGATGAACACAGTGTTTCTCTAAATTGTCAGCTTCCATCACGTGTTCACATTAAGAGAGACTTACATAGATCTAATCTACATGGGAAGTAGAAAAAGACAAGATCTCCTGAGTAAATTGGGAGCATGGGGACCTTGGGGGAGAGTTGAAGGGGGGAGGGGAGAGGCAGGGAGGGGAGCAGAGAAAAATGTAGAGCTCAATAAAACTCAATAAAAAACAAACAAATAAAAAAGGCGAGAATGTAGGCAAGCATGCTGCTTCTGATGTATGTACAACTTGCTCAAACTACAGTTTCTAAGTTTGTTTTATGTAAATATAAGAATAGCAGACCAGCTAGAAGCAAAAGATCTCTTCACAATATCTCTTATTTCCTTTAAATTGTACCCATGTTCACAGTCAAATAGCATACATGCATTTTATGATTGAGATTGACTTCTTTGGAGGCTCTTTTGTGTTGTTGTTGGGTTTTGTTTGTTTTTTTTGAGACAGGGTTACACTGTGTCTATCCTTGACTGTCCTGGAACTCCGACAGTAGACTAGACTGACCTTGAACTCACAAGCATTTGCCTGTTTTTCTTTCGTGAGTGCTGATATTGAAGGACTGTGTCACCACTGTCCAATTTGAGACTTTTCTTGACCACTAAGACATTTTTATTGTATCGATAAGCCTATAAATAATTTGCTTCATGGATTTGTCTATCCTTATAAGCTAATCTAATTTAAGATTTCAATAGATATTGTGTTATTATGACTGCTCATTCCAAGTGATTGGCGTAATAGCATTTAATCCATCAGCTTTCTTCAGGTTGAGGCGATAACCAGTGTTCTTCAGAATTCAGTTGAGGAGTCTAGAGAGCTGGCTCTGTAGGTAAGAGATGAAAGAATGTCACACACTGTTGGAGGCCCCAAGTTCTGTTTCAAGCACCTACATTACTAGATGCACAAACATCTGTAAATTCAGCTGTGTGATATCAAAAGACCTGCTCTATCCTCTGTGGGCACATGCACTCAAGGGCACACACTCCAGACACAAAAATAATTTTAAAAAATAGAAAAAAAAATTGAAAAAACATTAGAGACATTCAGGAGCAGAGACAAAATCCATGTTGAACTTAAAAGAGAGACTTAGGTTTAATGATAAAGTTTCTGCTTAGCATGAGTGGGTCCTGGGTTCAATGCCTAGTACTAAGCAAGAATAGTGAATAAAAAATTGAATGATTAAATAAAGTGCATGATGAGGAAGACCTCTTGTGAAATAGCTCTGACTATAAAGGAGAAGATACCCTGGGAGAAAATGATAATGAGGGACAAAGTACTGATGCTCTTGTGGAATCAGTAATAACCAGCTTGGTTGTTACCTTTTTTGTGTTGCTAATTTAGGGTTTCATGTGTAGTGTTTAATCTTTCCCTGAAGTCAGGGAGGAAACTATCTGTGGAAACTAGAGTGTCTGTGGTGACTTGTAACTGTCAGATAACCCATGTTCTCATTCAGTAGGTAACACCCAAACAGTTGAAAATGGTGAGGTACAGGAAAGTAAAAAATTGTTAAAGATCACAGTCTTTAAATGAACCCTAGTAAAGCATGAACGCCGAACTAACCGAACAACCCAGTGTTTCTATAAACAATAAACTTGCCTCAAGTGTTTGAGAATGTGGTATCGTGAATGTAAATGGTCCCCATAAACTCATAAGGAGTGGCACCACTTGGAGGTGTGGCTTTGTCGGAGTAAGTGTGGCCTTATTGGAGGAAGTGTGTCACAACAGAGGCAGGCTTTGAGGTCTAATGTATATTCAAGACACACTCGGTGTCTCAGACCTCTTCCTGTCACCTGTCACCTGTGAGTCATGATGTAGGACTCACAGCATGTCTGCATGCATGCCATTATGTTGCAACATGATGATAATGGACTAAACCTCTGAAATTGAAAGCAAACCACCCCAATTAAATGTTTTTACTTTATACGAGTTGCTGTGTTCATCGTGCCTCTTTGGGGTTTGTGATGCTTTTATGCGGTTTAGATTCACCACATTTATTTTGTAAATTTTTGAAACACAGTTGCTTGTAATTTGATCATAAACATGAGATGGGTGAAAAGCTAATAACATCATATGAATAAGATAAATACCATGTGTGGTTCGGTTCTTAACCTTTGTATTTAAATTAAACAGACACTCGGGGAAATGGGTAGTACTCCACAGCAGTTTTCAGATTCCTTTCCTTTTACTATCTGTGTCATAGCTCCTCACACTATGGGCTTATTTTATCTGTTGTTGACATAAACAATAGATAAAAGATGACCACTCATCTATTCAGTTGTTTCTGGTTCCATCATATTGGTAGAATTTATTTAAAGAAAATGTAGTTTATTTAATATCATTCTTGAATGAATTCTTTGTGCAGTACTCTAATTTGTTTATACAATCTATTCTTTTTAGTATAGTATTTTATTAATTATTTGAGAATTTCATATAATGAATTTTGATCATAATTATCCCTATTCCTCCTCTAACTCTTCTCAGTTTCATCTTGACCTCCAATCCCACCTTCATGTCCTTTCTAAAAATAACCTGACACTGAGTGCAGTGTCTCCTGCCCCTATTGCCATGAGTGTGGGCCTATGAACTGCAGTGAGACATAAAATATATTTTTGATTCGCATTTGTGTTTTAATCATGACAAATAATGTTTCAATAAACAACTTTGTTCATATATTTGGAGTTTTGGAGAATACATACTTGCAGTCCTATTAGATGTATGCTAGGAGTAAACTTCTGCTTGGAGAAAATGTTTCCATTCTGTGATAAGATAAGCCCATGGGTTTCCACTGAGTATCCAACAAAACATACTGATAATGTACATAGGTTACATCTCCAGCCCGTTTATTGAGGCACAGTCTCTACTAAGCATCATATTTTTTTTCTTGAATGCACAATCCTGCTTCCTCAGTGTGGAGTGTGTTATCACACCCTGCTTCATTTTCTGTTGAGTGGAATAGGTGAATACGATAGTAAGCATAAAGCAGAGAGACAGTGGTATGGGAATATGCCATAGAAGTACATAGGACCTCATCTTCAGAGTCTTCACTGTGGGTTAAGCATAATCATTATGAGGGAGCTCTTCTAGGGATAAATGAGACCATCTTCTGCAACTTTGACAAGCCTGGCAAATGTTGAACAAATACTTGGCAGAAAATCCAAGATATTTTGTCACAAAATATTGCTACTTACAGCCATAACTATGGAGAAAATATTCTCCCACCATAGGTAAACAGGCTGCAGTACAAGATCCTGGAACCCAGTGCCTCTTTCATAACCATCCAAAAAGTGACATTTGAAGATGAAGCCTGCTACAAGTGTCTGTTTAATATTTTCCCATGTGGCAATCATGAAAAACAAACCTGCCTTAGCATTCTAAGTAAGACCTTACTCTAGGTCCCAAAATGGACATAGACATAATTGAGTTTTAGTATTTAAGATCCTTGTCCAGAGAAAAATGTTAGATAATAAAATACTGACGTTGATGGGCCCAGATTACTTAGACAGGAGAAAATCTTGGAGGGCATTAAAGATTATGTTCTGAGGCAGGACTTTCTTCCACTTCACATGACATCCTTTCATTAAACTGTACTGGATTCTATTAAGGAGAGAGAGAAGACCCAGGAAGAGCATCAGAATTTTGTCCATAAAACGAGGAAAAGATTTGAGAAAAGAAAGAGATACCTAGAAAGACAAGGAAAGGTAAAGTCTAAGGGAATTAGGATTTCCCAGTCTTCAAATAAGTAATACATCCCAGTACTAATAAATGCCAGAGTTCTTTATTGTACTGCTGTAAGTGTGAAGTGTTGGGTGTTTATCATATAATTTATAGTTGCATAGAAACTTAGAGAGCAGCCAGTGAATAGAGGAAATGGCATTGGAAGTTTTATAACATGTGAGTGGAGGTATCTATGAGGAATAGGTTGTCAGCATTTATGTGTCTTTTAGAAATTGAGGGAAAGCCTTTCTTTAACAGCAGAGGATTTGGTATGGCATACCGTTGTATTAATTTCACTTTCTTTTTCTTGTTTCAGTTGTTCCTGAATTAATAACTGAACTCCATTCTGTTCCTGGCTCTGAAGATCTCCTTAGCCTTCACTGTTCAGCTGTGGGAGAGCCTGCTCCTGGAATCTCCATTTACCCTTCACAAGTCCTAGTGCCCACGCAAGAAGAGTACCGTACTGAGAACTCAAATGCCACAGTGACGATCACTAAATTATACAGCTTCTCTTTGAAAACTGTGAGGTCCTTGTGAAGGCGTAAGTCACAAACAATGCCACACCAATTCGGGGTTATGATTATTAGGGTGGTATTTATTTAAAGGGGAAAAAAACTTACAGATCACTGTCCCAGGCAACAGCCCTCTTCGCAACCAGGAAAGGAGTCTAGTCGCAGGCGGAGCAGGAAGTGAAGAGAGAGAGAAGAGGGAAGTGGCCGCTTTTTTAAAGGGAGAGAAACCACGCCCCAGTGGGCTGGTACCTCAGCGGTGATAGGCTGGAGGAGTGGGAGGACCTCCCGCAACACCTCCCCCTTTTGTTTAAATAAGAGAGTTCTAAACCTACTATGAAATTATATACAATAAGTACAAATATCCTATTCTAACTAGCTTAGGTCTTGTATAATAAATAACTTGGCCAAGTCATGAGAGAAAGTAACTACATTTATATAGTCTTCAACCCCATCGAAGATCTGAGAAGGGAAATAATGTTACCTGGGTAATTAGGAAGTTCAGTAGAACAACTTCCAAAACATGCAACAAATTACAGAGACAACTAGCTACCTGGGCAATCACCCAAAGTCACATTAGCAGCGTTGAAGCAACCAACTTTGGCTAAGGCCTAACATAACTGACATACCATTTTCTAAGGCAAGCAACTTTTCAAAACTATCTTACCCTGTCTTGGCAGGATATGACAGTCCTGTTTTATCCATTGATGCATGCTCTGTATCTTTGTCAGTTGTTGAGGTATGGGCATTTCTTTGCCCAAACGCCAGTTCTGCCAAAAAGAAAGGCTCCAGGTGGAGTGTCTTTGGTGCTCAACATTCTCTCGGGAATAGAGTGGTGTTGCCAGGAGCAATTGTGTCTCACTACCACAAAACTCTGAGTTAGATTAAAGGCCATTTTCTACAGCTCTTTGAAGAAGTTGAAGATTATCTATCTATACTGAGTATAATCTCTATATATCTAAAGAACCTGATTAGTCTATTATAAATGACAAACTTAGATGACTATTAGTCTATATAATTCTCAATATCTATCTAACTTAAAGACTAAGACAATAAACGACTGTGAAACAAATGAGGACAATGACCTCCAAATATAAACAATGTACAAATATACATTGCAGTAGGTAAATATATATCAATACACAATCATTATATAAGTATCTTAATCAGAGGTAGAAATGTACACTGCAATATGGTAAATATATACAATATATATATATCAATACAATATATGTCAATACATAAAAAAATGTTTTAAACAGAGGTAGAAACATGCATGCGTACAATAGTCAATATAATTTAACTTTGTATCAATATACAAGAATCTATACCAATGTATTTGTCTAAAAACAGTAACTCACAATTACAAATCTATTATCCCATCATCCCTCCTTTTTTTTTTTTTTTCAAAATGATCCCTGAGCGTATAAAATTCCTCCCCCAACCCTCAATCGTATACTAATTATAATCAACCCCTAAATGATGTCCCTAAACCCAAGGGCAAGTTTTACTGGGAAAGGGGACGTCGTCCTCTAGAATTACTTCCAGCTGTCATGGGGGCGACGTTCTTTCTGGGGGATCCTGTGAAAGTGAAATGATGGTTAAATTTCAAGATCAATGTCTTTTAAAATTGCCAATAGTCTCTGAGTATTTTGTGCAGGTCTGGCCAAAATGTTGTATAAGATGTGCACCATTTCAGCTAACCAAGTTGGAACTGTCTTGTGCAGCTGGTACCAAAAGCAGGTCTTGTAGTAGCGCTATCAGTATCATGACGTCATATCAACCAGGTGGAGTTGTTGTTATGGGGCCCCATCTTCTTCCTGGAAACTTCAAATGTCACTTCAGGAAAAACTCATTGTTCATTATGAAAAACTTAAACATTAATCATATAGACATATATAAACATATATATATTCAATGAAAGACATGATAGATATATTCAATGAAAAGTATGATAGATATGAAGAAAAGCAAAGATGTTTTCTAAACTCATATTTCTTTCTGTCCCATATCATGGCTCTTGACATGAGACAGAAACTCCAGAAACTCTGGGTCTTTCTCTTACTAACAGGCTTGGAATTGGAGAGGGACTGAGCCAAAGTCCAACTTCAAAACCAGCTTTATAAAAATTTAGAAATATGGTTTAATTATTACTTACACAATCCATTCAGTTGTCTTCATATTTCCTATTGGGCAGGTATTTTTCCATTTGTCAGTATCCAAACATCCAGGGTCCCTTGAATTTCTCAAAGATGAGTGTTTTCCTGTGGAGATAAGAACAGAACCCTGCCCCCATTCTATATGTTTTTCTTACCACCTGTATGAATATCATCGTTGTGGATGAGTTGTCATTTCTCCTTTCCAAGAGGTTTCTCCTCTTCAAATCGAAACTTTATTAATTTTGATGGTACCCACAATTTTTCTTCTCCTGTGGAAACAAGAGCAAAACCCCTTCCCCAACGTAGCACATCTCCTGGCTTCCACTGAGAGGTCAGCACATCTTTGAAATAAATCGGTTGATTTAGTTCAGCAGACTTTTCCATTATCCAATGTCTTTCTGCTGCTGTCGTTCCTTTCTCATTAGCGTTAAGAAAATTCAAGGTTAATAAAGCATTATGTAATCTATTTCTGGGGGTATTTTCAGTCCCTTTCTGTTTGTTCAGCATATCCTTTATAGTACGATTTGATCTTTCTATAACTGCCTGACCTGTAGGATTATTTGGTATACCTGTAATGTGTTTTATATTATAATAATCAAAAAAGCGTTTCATTTTCTTAGATACATATGCTGGACCATTATCTGTCTTTATTTGCGCAGGTATACCCATGATGGCCATAACTTCCAATAAATGTGTGATTACTGAATCAGCCTTTTCTGAGCTCAGGGCAGTAGCCCATTGAAAACCTGAATACGTGTCTATGGTGTGGTGTACATATTTTAATTTACCAAATTCCATAAAGTGGAACACATCCATCTGCCAGATTTCATTTCTCTTAGTACCCTTTGGGTTACTCCCTGCAGGCAACGGTGTTTGATTATAGAAAGAACAAGTAGGGCATCTCTTTATAATGTCCTTAGCTTGTTGCCAAGTAATGGAAAATTCTTTCTTTAGGCCTTTACTATTGACATGATGCTTCTTATGAAATTCCGAGGCCTGCAACACACTTCCAATCAATAATTGATCAATCTCAGCATTGCCTTGGGCTAGAGGACCAGGCAGACCTGTATGGGACCGGATGTGTGTTATGTACATCGGACAAAGCCTGTTCCTGATTATGTCTTGTACCTGGATAAACAATGAAGTCAACTCTGTGTCATCTGGTATAAATTCAGCGGTTTCAATATGCAAGATAACTCTTTCTGCATATTGTGAATCTGTAACTATATTAAGAGGTTCTTTAAAATCCCTTAGCACCATAAGAATGGCATATAATTCTGCCTTCTGGACAGAATTATAAGGGCTTTGTTCCACCTTACTCAATTCATCTGACTTGTAACCTGCTTTCCCTGATTTATTTGCATCAGTATAGAACGTACGGGCTCCAGTTATTGGAGCATCACGTACAATTCTAGGAAGAATCCAAGAAGTTCTTTTTATGAGATTAAGTCTATCACTTTTGGGATAGTTGCTATTAATTTCTCCCAAAAAGTTAGCACAAGCTCTTTGCCACGGTTCATTGTCTTCCCATAACTTTTTTATTTCTTCAGTAGTAAAAGGCACTATAATTTCTGCTGGGTCTATACCTGCTAGTTGACGAAGTCTCAGCTTACCTTTTATAATTAATTCAGAGACCTTTTCCACATAAGTTTTTAATTTTTTACTTGGTTTATTAGGTATAAATATCCACTCTAAAATAATATCTTCCCTCTGCATTAGAATCCCTGTAGGAGAAATTCTGGAAGGCAATATGACTAGGATGCAGCTAAGATTTGGGTTCACCCTATCCACATGTGCCTCCTGTAATTTTTCCTCAATCATTGTTAGTTCCTTTTCTGCTTCAGCTGTCAGTTCTCTTGGACTATTCAAATCTTTATCACCATCTAAGGTTTTGTTTAAATGAACTATTAGATCAGGTGTTATCCCAACAGCTGGTCGTAGACTGGAAATGTCTCCTAACAATCTTTGGAAGTCATTAAGAGTCTTTAACCGGTCTCTCCTAATTTGTGCCTTTTGCGTTTTAATTTTCTCTAACCCTATTCTGTAACCTAGGTAATTAATAGAATTTCCTCTTTGAATCTTTTCAGGGGCAATTTGTAATCCCCACCTAGGCAAGACTTTCTTTACTTCTTCAAACATCCTTTCTAAAGTATCTTTATTTGAATCAGATAATAAGATGTCATCCATGTAATGATAAATGATGGACTTGGGGAATTGTTTACGAATTATTTCCAATGGCTTACTTACAAAATATTGGCACAGTGTAGGACTATTGAGCATACCCTGTGGGAGGACAGTCCACTGATATCTCCTATTAGGCTGAGAATTATTGTAAGTAGGCACTGTGAAGGCAAATTTTTCTCTATCCTTTTCTTGTAACGGTATAGTGAAAAAACAATCTTTCAAATCAATAACTATAAGAGGCCATCCTTTTGGTAACAGAGAAGGCAAAGGAATTCCAGATTGTAGTGGGCCCATAGGTTGAATTACTTTGTTGACAGCTCTTAGATCTGTCACCATTCTCCATTTACCAGATTTCTTTTTTACAACAAACACAGGAGAATTCCAAGGGCTGGTTGATTCTTCAATATGGTGAGCATCTAGTTGCTCTTGCACCAGCTGTTCCAATGCCTGTAGTTTATCTTCAGCTAGAGGCCATTGTTTGGTCCATATTGGCTTCTCAGTTAGCCATTTTAAAGGTAGGGCCGTTGGTACCTCTAAAGGTTTGGTATTTGCTGTATGTTCTTGTACAGCCTGAATGGCTGGTGACCTTTTCCCATAATACCTCATCATATCCTTCCCAGAATTATGAGTTCCTGGAAATACAGGAATGTTAATCTGGGTATTCCATTGCTGTAGCAGGTCACGGCCCC